ACATACAGTAGTCATTGTTACATGGACAGACATGAGTCCTGTCTACAACATACAGTAGTCTATGTTACATGAACAGACATGGGTCCTGTCTACAACATACAGTCGTCATTGTTACATGGACAGACATGGGTCCTGTCTACAACATACAGTAGTCTATGTTACATGGACAGACATGGTCCTGTCTAGTACATACAGTAGTCATTGTTACATGGACAGACATGGTCCTGTCTACAACATACAGCAGTCATTGTTACATGGACAGACATGGGTCCTGTCTACAACATACAGTCGTCATTGTTACATGGACAGACATGGTCCTGTCTACAACATACAGTCGTCATTGTTACATGGACAGACATGGGTCCTGTCTACAACATACAGTAGTCATTGTTACATGGACAGACATGGTCCTGTCTACAACATACAGTAGTCATTGTTACATGGACAGACATGGTCCTGTCTACAACATACAGTCGTCATTGTTACATGGACAGACATGGGTCCTGTCTACAACATACAGTAGTCATTGTTACATGGACAGACAGGGGTCCTGTCTACAACATACAGTTGTCATTGTTACATGGACAGACATGGGTCCTGTCTACAACATACAGTAGTCATTGTTACATGGACAGACACGGGTCCTGTCTACAACATACAGTAGTCATTGTTACATGGACAGACATGGGTCCTGTCTACAACATACAGTAGTCATTGTTACATGGACAGACATGAGTCTTGTCTACAACATACAGTAGTCATTGTTACATGGACAGACATGGGTCCTGTCTACAACATACAGTAGTCATTGTTACATGGACAGACATGAGTCTTGTCTACAACATACAGTAGTCATTGTTACATGGACAGAAATGAGTCTTGTCTACAACATACAGTAGTCATTGTTACATGGACAGACATGGGTCCTGTCTACAACATACAGTAGTCATTGTTACATGGACAGACATGAGTCTTGTCTACAACATACAGTCGTCATTGTTACATGGACAGACATGAGTCCTGTCTACAACATACAGTCGTCATTGTTACATGGACAGACATGGGTCCTGTCTACAACATACAGTCGTCATTGTTACATGAACAGACATGGTCCTGTCTACAACATACAGTAGTCATTGTTACATGGACAGACATGAGTCTTGTCTACAACATACAGTAGTCATTGTTACATGGACAGACATGGGTACTGTCTACAACATACAGTAGTCATTGTTACATGGACAGACATGGGTCCTGTCTACAACATACAGTAGTCATTGTTACATGGACAGACATGAGTCTTGTCTACAACATACAGTCGTCATTGTTACATGGACAGACATGAGTCCTGTCTACAACATACAGTCGTCATTGTTACATGGACAGACATGGGTTCTGTCTACAACATACAGTCGTCATTGTTACATGGACAGACATGAGTCTTGTCTACAACATACAGTCGTCATTGTTACATGGACAGACATGGGTCCTGTCTACAACAAAGATTCAACACAGTAAAGTTCAAAATCAACACAACGGGCTTTTGTAAAACTGGTTAACGATTCATCATTTTAACTCAATGTTGAGGTGGATAGTTGCAACAATCATAAAGTCATAAAGATGTGACATTTTCATCAGCAGTAGCTGAAAGTGTCATTTATGGTAGCTGTAAGTCAACGTTGAGCCATGAACCTTATGATGAGTCATAAGCCTAAAGTTTACACATATATTACTGTCCATAAAGACAATTGGATTGGGCACAAGTTGAAGTGTTGAAATGCTAGAGGTTAGAGGCATGACAGGCATCATGTGTCAGATGTTGGATAAAATAGAAGTGTATGTTGAAGTGTGATGGACATGATATAACACTTACAATATGTTACACATAAAATAGGTAACACATACAATGTGTAACACATACAATATATAACACATACAATACGTAACACATACCATACGTAACACATACAATATGTAACACATACCATACGTAACACATACTATATGTATCACATACAATACGTAACACATACAATATGTAACACATACCATACGTAACACATACTATATGTATCACATACAATATGTAACACATACAATACATTACACATACAATACGTAACACATACAATATGTAACACATACCATACGTAACACATACTATATGTATCACATACAATATGTAACACATACAATACATTACACATACAATCAAAACACATACTATACATAACATTCTATATGTATCACATACAATACGTTACACGTACAATACCTATCACATACAATACATAACACATCATACGTAACACGTACCATACATTACACATACAATACGTAAAACATACAATACGTAACACATACCATACATAACACATACCATACGTAACACATACAATATATAACACATACAATATGTAACACATACAATACATTACACATACAATCAAAACACATACTATACATAACATACTATATGTATCACATACAATATGTAACACATACAATACATTACACATACAATACGTTACACATACTATACATAACATACTATATGTATCACATACAATACGTTACACGTACAATACCTATCACATACAATACATAACACATCATACGTAACACGTACCATACATTACACATACAATACGTAAAACATACAATACGTAACACATACCATACATAACACATACCATACGTAACACATACCATACGTAACACATACCATACGTAACACATACCATACGTAACACATACCATACATAACACATACAATACGTAACACATACCATACATAACACATACCATACGTAACACATACCATACGTAACACATACCATACGTAACACATACAATATATAACACATACAATATATAACACATACAATACATTACACATACAATCAAAACACATACTATACATAACATACTATATGTATCACATACAATATGTAACACATACAATACATTACACATGCAATCAAAACACATACTATACATAACATACTATATGTATCACATACAACATGTAACACATACAATACATTACACATACAATCAAAACACATACTATACATAACATACTATATGTATCACATACAATATGTAACACATACAATACATAACATACTATATGTATCACATACAATACATAACATACTATATGTATCACATACAATACATAACATACTATATGTATCACATACAATATGTAACACATACAATACATAACACATACAATACGTTACACATACTATACATAACATACTATATGTATCACATACAATACATAACATACTATATGTATCACATACAATATGTAACACATACAATACATAACACATACAAGACGTTACACATACTATACATAACATACTATATGTATCACATACAATACGTTACACGTACAATACATAACACATACAATACGTTACACATACTATACATAACATACTATATGTAACACATACAATACGTATCACATACAATATGTATCACATACTATACATAACATACTATATGTATCACATACAATATGTAACACATACAATACATAACACATACAATACGTTACACATACTATACATAACATACTATATGTATCACATACAATACGTTACACGTACAATACCTATCACATACAATACATAACACATCATACGTAACACGTACCATACATTACACATACAATACGTAAAACATACAATACGTAACACATACCATACATAACACATACCATACGTAACACATACCATACGTAACACATACCATACATAACACATACTATATGTATCACATACAATATGTAACACATACAATACATTACACATACAATCAAAACACATACTATACATAACATACTATATGTATCACATACAATATGTAACACATACAATACATTACACATACAATCAAAACACATACTATACATAACATACTATATGTATCACATACAATATGTAACACATACAATACGTTACACATACTATACATAACATACTATATGTATCACATACAATACGTTACACGTACAATACCTATCACATACAATACATAACACATACCATTACATTACACATACCATATGTTACACTTACAATACGTAACACACATCATACGTAACACGTACCATACATTACACATACAATACGTAAGACATACAATACGTAACACATACCATACATAACACATACCATACGTAACACATACGATACATAACACATACAATACGTAACACATACCATACATTACACATACCATACGTAAAACATACAATACGTAACACATACCATACATAACACATACCATACGTAACACATACAATACGTAAAACATACAATACGTAACACATACCATACATAACACATACAATACGTAACACATACAATACGTAAAACATACAATACGTAACACATACCATACGTAACACATACCATACATAACACATACAATACGTAACACATACGATACATAACACATACCATACATAACACATACAATACGTAAAACATACAATACGTAACACATACCATACGTAACACATACCATACATAACACATACAATACGTAACACATACAATACGTAAAACATACAATACGTAACACATACCATACATAACACATCATACGTAACACATACGATACATAACACATACAATACGTAACACATACAATACGTAAAACATACAATACGTAACACATACCATACGTAACACATACCATACATAACACATACAATACGTAACACATACAATACGTAAAACATACAATACGTAACACATACCATACATAACACATACCATACATAACACATACGATACGTAACACATACCATACATAACACATACCATACGTAACACATACCATACATTACACATACCATATGTTACACTTACAATACGTAAAACATACAATACGTAACACGTACCATACATAACACATACCATACATAACACATACGATACGTAACACATACCATACATAACACATACGATACATACCACAAATGTGTACTCTGTATCAGGTGTCAGCCTGCGGGCGTTGTAGCAGAGATCAGTGCCGGAGTACACTGTCTTGCCGTTCATGATGACGTCGTAGCGGGTTATCCTGCCAAGTGGTACCTCTGGTGGACCCCAGGTCAAGTTGACCTCATTACGACCCAACACATGGACTTGAGGCCGGGACGGTGCGTGGGCTCCTGGATAAAACAGAATGAGTGAGTGAGTGAGTGTGGATTTACACCACATTAAGCAATATTCCAGCACAATCATGGCAGGGGACACCAGAAATGGGATTCATACCCATGTGAAAAGAACAGAATAGCATATGGTGTATGAACATTGATTTAGAGATCTACTACCAAGGTAATTCATTTTGGGGGTCGAGATAACACAAAGCCTGTGATTGTAGGGGTCCCCGGTCAACAAATGGGGATCCCAACCTACAAAATTGAGGTTCCGGAGAAGTGTAAAAAATTGAATAGAGTAAATGAAGGATACTGCATGCTCAGAGGTTGTTAGTTAAAAATAAATATGGACTTCCGCAACTGAAACACATCTATAGGTGCCAGCACTAGAAGATCATGATGCCAAATGGCAAAAGGCACCATTGAAGCTGATGGACAATGCATATCCCAAGTTTCGTTGAAATATGTTGAATGGTTTTCTAGTCATGGCACGGAAACAAACCCTACCCTGGCCTGAGACAAGTCAAAATTGTTTCTATGGCAACATAGGAAAATAAAAATTAGAACAATTTCAAAATAGCAAAAGGCACCATTGACGCTGATGAGCAATGCATATCCCAAGTTTCATTGATGTGTGCTGGATGGTTTTCAAGATATGATCCAGAAACGAACCCTCCCCTTGTTTGAGACTAAGTTGAAATTGTTTCCATGGAAGCATTAAAAAAAATATATTAGAAAAATTTCAATATAGCAAAAGGCACCAGTTAAGCTGATGAGCAATACATATGCCAAGTATTACCTAGCTCATGGAATACTGATTGTCTGTAGTGCTTGTATTACCAAGCTCACAGAATATTGATTGCCTGTTGTGCTTGTATGACCTCGCTCATGGAATATTGATTGTCTGTAGCGCTTATATTACCTAACTAATGGAATATTGATTGTCTGTAGTGCTTGTATTACCTCGCTCATGGAATATTGATTGTTACCAGTGCTTGTATTACCTAGCTCATCAAATATTGATTGTCAGCAGTGCTTGTATTACCTAATTCTGCCGTAGTTCCGATGACAGATGACCTTTCACCTTTGCCTTTACAAGTCGCTGCACAAACCTGAAGTGAGACATTATACAATCATAAAATCTGAAGAAGTGAGAAATTATACAATCATACGATCTGAAGAAGTGAGACTTTATACAATCATACAATCTGGAGAAATGAGACATTATACGAAATATACAATCGAAACAGGTCAGCCACTTTACGTTTCGTTTTACTTATACAATCTGAACAAGTGGGGTATCAGTAAAATGATACCATCTCACGTGATAACCGAAAGAGCTTGGTGGAATGTTGTCCTACACAGTATGCAGTGGTAGTACTTTTACAGAGGTTTATCAAGGCATTGTCAGAGGCCATTATTTGGTGCCAAGTCTGCAGCAACTGTTGGTAAAAATTCCCAAATTTGAAATAAAGACATCCCAATTCAGGGGGTGTATCTTCACTTCCTATATTGCAGCTTTGCACTTTGAACGACATGACTGCATTGAAAAAAATGTTGGAATATATCTGAAAGTCAGACCACAGGAATATTACGCCAGATTTCCAATTTAGCCCAGCAAATAATTAGTTTTCACAATGTGCCCACCACTGGCACTTCCCTTCTTGGCTATACCACAGGTCATCTTAAAGTGGGATGAGAGCCTGAATAGAAGGACATTTACAACATTTACAAACAGGGTCATTATCAGGGAGATTCTTGGATTCAAACCAGCAATCAGCGGATCCTGACACACCTCTGGGATACAACTCTGTACAGCAGCTGTGGCACTTACACCACTGCTCTTTCTTTGACCTAGTTCAACCCTTGCTGACAAGGGAAGCAATAAGTAGTTGGCTTTCACATGAAGAGATCCAGCAGCTCTAATCACATTCGGGGGACGGGTGGCCCAGTCGTTTAAAGTGCTGCAAATCTCTGTGCAGAGTTACGTCCCTTGGGCATGCCAGAAACCTATGATTGTAGGTTCAAATCCCTGTTTGCCCCAATAATGTTTCGAGGTATGTCAGAACTATACCCACCCAAAGTGGTAAACGACTTCAGGCTTTCCTCCTACATTAAGTTGACACGCCGCAATATAACTGGAATACCATTCAAATACTGGTACTATCCAAAGCTGATTAAACCCAACTCACTGTGTATAACACAATTCATACTGTTTCATCAATACTTTTTCAAGTTGATCTGTTTGGGTCTCACCTGGACTTCATAGGCGGTGTTGGCTGTGAGGCTTGTCAGGATGATGGAGACGTCTGCTGTGTGCTCCACTACGTTTCTACCTGCAAACAAACACATTTGGGCCCTGGGAGTTCATTTTTTCATGTACCACCCTGAACAAAATATATACAGTAAACTATGGTTATAACAAACTCAAAGAAACCAGTAATTATAAATCGTTATAACCCTAGTTCAATATAAACACATATACAGCAATTGGAGGGACCCCAAAACAGTTTGTTATATCCGTCAGTTCGTTATAAGGGTGTTCGTTGTAAACGTGGTTTACTGTATGGATTTTGAAACTTGAAGCTGGCTGACAACCTACTTTTAAGATCACAAATGTTTGCAAAATGTTTTCTTAGTATAAATAAGTTTGATATTATATCATTCCTTGAAAGCAGAAAGTAATCGTTTCGTGTAGTACTGAATGGGGGAGGGGTTGGAGGGGGCTTGAAAACACGGAACAGTCTCATCCAACTTGTTATTCAGATTAAAACACTGACTCACCATAAAATACGTAGTAACCCTTTAGGACCCCGTTAGGGTGCTCCGGAGGATCCCAGCCCACCTTCAGCTGCGTGATGGTGGACCCGAGGATCTTCAGGTCGACCGGAGCAGAAGGCTCTACAAACCGCAGCACACGAGAAAATTAATGTGTGGCAAATGAGAAATATGTGCCTCTTCACAAACATTACACAAATATTACAAGACAATATAATACAAACATTCACAAATATCTAAAGATAGTGAGCTTGTGTAAAGCTGTTTTCGACAGTATTCCAGTTATATAACAGCGTGTCAGCTCCATGTAAAAGGATAGATTCAGTAATGCAGGTCTTAGAACTTTAGTGAAAACGACGAGCATGGGTAGGGTGCTGACAAACGTGCTGATGGTCTCTAAATAGTCAAGTCTGGACCAAGTAAACCAGTGAGTGAAGGCAATGACCAGCCAAAGTCACAGACTCTGACCACCTGACACCCATTTTAGTCGGCTCTTATGTGAGTGAGTGAGTTGGGTTTAACGCCGCTTTTAACAGTATTACAGTTATATCGCAGCATGTCAGCTTAATGTGGGAGGAAAGCCCGAAGTGATGCAGGTGTATGAGCACGAGCATGGGTATGGTGCTGACAAACATAGAAACATAATCGGGATAGGGATTCGAACCCACAATCATAGGTTTCTGGCGTGCCCAAGGTACACAACTCTGCACAGAGGATTGCGGCGCCTAGGCGACTGGGACACCTGTGCCCCCAGTCAGCTCTTATGTCAACCACGAGGCACTTAGGACCTCATAGGGCCTGGACTCCCACAATATTCCACAATATTAAAAAAACATCAATACCAGAGAACAACAGTCTTGATTATCCATTGAAACAGATTCCTTTGGGCATAAAAGGCGAAACAGTGTAAAACTTAAATGAATGGATCACTGAAAATCAGTAAAGACACCAGATGTTTCGCAAAAACGGTGAGCATGCCCCGCTCTACTGACAGCACCCGCCACTCAATACTATAACACATGTTATGTGAAAATTTTTAAAGATTGTTTGCATCCTTTGCTTTTCAAAGGGAGACAACTCACCAGCCTCCTCAGTCATAACCTGCACAGTGTCGCTGTGCTGGCTCTCATCCCCCTCGGTGTAGGCTCGCAGTCGCAGACTGTACTGGGTGTAAGGAGCCAGGTCGTCCACCTCGTAGCTGCACTCACGGCCGTTGTACACACAACGCACACCTGGGATCAAACACAACATTGTATGTCTTGGTTGTCTTATTGTTCTACACTATTATTCCAGCTGTATGACAATGGCCTCTAACTAATTCAGCCTGCACCACACAATCGTGTGTCATTCTGAGAGCGCCATGTTTGTAAGTCTACTCTGATGTAAAGAGTGATCAGTTATGAGATGTCTTCGTCCTGGATCGGAACGTTACACATAGGATCCTGGCACACCCAAGGGGCACAACTCTGCATGTTAAATTGCAGCTCCTTAGACAACTGGGTCACCCGTAACTAGGAAACCTAACTTCACCTTGACATTGTTCACCTATTGTCATCCAAGTTGTTTTAGTCCAACACCCTGCACCCACCTTCAAACAGCTGGTAGCGGACATCAAAGCCGCTCTTAGTGGTGATCTTGTCCCAGCGGGCCAGTACTGAGTAGGGCCCAGTAACTGTAAAACAATGTTGTAAGTTGACACACACGACTTCAAAGTATCCTGAAGATTGCACCAGGCAATTTATTTCCTTATACAAAGGACAAATTTACCCTTAATTTGGCAAAATTGTAAGGATAAACAATAGCTTCCCTACAGATAAACAATAGCTTCACTGTGGATAAACAATAGCTTCAATATGGATAAACAATAGCTTCCCTACAGATAAACAATAGCTTCACTGTGGATAAACAATAGCTTCCCTACAGATAAACAATACCTTCCCTACAGATAAACAATAGCTTCACTGTGGATAAACAATAGCTTCAATATGGATAAACAATAGCTTCAACATGGATAAACAATAGCTTTCCTACAGATAACCAATAGCTTCACTGTGGATAAACAATAGCTTCATTATGGATAAACAATAGCTTCCCTACAGATCAACAATAGCTTCAATATGGATAAACAATAGCTTCAATATGGATAAACAATAGCTTCCCTATCTTAACTTGAAACAAGGATTAGAATGTGTTTCTTCAAACGAAATACAGAGAAAGTTAGTCGGGAGTCTGGGAGACTTGGGTCTGGGTTTGGGGGCCACTGGGGGATCTGTAACCGGGGGTCTGGGGGATCTGTAACCAGGGGTTTGGGGGACCTGTAACCAGGGGTCTGGGGGACCTGTAACCGGGGGTCTGGGGGATCTGTAACCAGGGGTTTGGGGGACCTGTAACCAGGGGTCTGGGGGACCTGTAACTGGGGGTTTGGGGGACCTGTAACCGGGGGTCTGGGGGACCTGTAACCAGGGGTCTGGGGGACCTGGAACCGGGGATCTGGGGGACCTGTAACCGGGGGTCTTGGGGACCTGTAACCAGGGGTCTAGGGGACCTGTAACCGGGACGTCTGGGGGACCTGAAACTGGGGGTTTGGGGGACCTGTAACCAGGGGTCTGGGGGACCTGTAACCGGGTGTCTTGGAGACCTGTAACCAGGGGTCTGGGAGACCTGTAAACGGGGTTTGGGGAACCTGTAACCCAGGCCTACCTTCCACGTGGGGTGGTGCAGGCTTCTCCAGACGTTTCAGGATCTCTAGTGTGATGATGACCTCCTCTTTCAGGTCAGAATTCATGTCACTCCTCACCTCCATTGCCTGAAACACAAGTTACCATGGTTACGCCACAGGAGGGGAGGTGCATACAACACAACTCACTCACTCAATCATCAAACAGGTGGGAATGAATGAGAGTCTGGGGCCCATTTCACAAAGCTGTCGTAGCGCTGAGATGATCGTAACTCCCCTACTTACGGCTTATGAGGTGAGGTGAAATTGGGTTTAACGTCGCGTCCAAGATTGTTGCACTTATATAGCGACGTGCATGCATGTGTGAGTGTGTGGCTGCTTGTACTAGTCCGGACTGAAGCCAATTTATAGTGCTAGCTCACTGGGATACCATGCCGCAGTTTAACATGAATACCCCACTCAGACACAGTATACTGACTCCGAGCCGACCAGTCCTTGTTTTAGGCCCTTAATGCCGAGTGCCAGACAGGGTAACAACAAGTACCATCTTTAAGCGTCTTTTGGTATGACGCGGCCAGGGATCGAACACCGGACCTTCCGCTCTCCGGGCAGACGCTCTACCACTAGACCACGGAGGCGGTCTACAGCTTATGAAACTGCGCTACAATTGCTTTGTGCAACAGGGTCCTGGAACACAAGTGCCCAGTTACAGTTACAGAGTGAGTGAGTGAGTGAGTGAGTGAGTGAGTGAGTGAGTGAGTGAGTGAGTGTGAGGCAGTGAGTGAATGTTGTTTTATGCAGCAATCACCAATATTCTAGCTATAGTGATACAAATGTAGCAGACTCTTGTTCCTGAAAGTCAGCGTAACAAGAGAGTCTACTTGTTGCCAATACTCTGCCCGCACTGCCGAGTAACTGCCAGGAGCAGCATCATTACAAACGCCTTGGTATATTTCAGTTCGTAAAATGGTACTGCGTGAAAGGGAATTGGCTTGTCAATCAGAGAGATTAGCACAGCTATGCCTAGACACTCGGTGGTAGATCTTACCTTCAGTGCCAAGTGAACTGTGTGGTTTTCTCGTAGTTTTAAGCACCCTTTGGGTTGACTGGCTAGGGTTCTGAGAGTCCTGGAAACATGTAACCATGGTAACACATGACATGGTTCATACAGATCCTTGAGGTCAAAATTCAAGTTATTTCCAAGCAGTTTTCAAAGAGAAATACCTGTTTTCAGAGCACTTCTTTAATAAATTTATTCATCCGAAAATAAGTTCAGGCAAAACACTTTAAAGTTTAACATAAGGAATTCAATATTTTTTCAGCTTGAAGGGACTGGTCATTTAGTTTAGGGGTGGTGGGTAAGGGGGAATCAGGGGAGGGTCACAAAATATCTCGCAAGTCTCTTGGGGAAGGTCATAAAAAATAATACACATATTGGGGAAGGAACATAAAAAAATGGACAGAATATTATAATATAATATAAAGTGCTTTTGCATTGTGTGTTTTCAGGAAAGACAATGACAAAATCGTATAAGGACATGCATGGGGACATGACCTTTAGCAAACTTTGATCAACCACTGAAATGACTGACAGGAAGCAGACATTGCTTTGAAAAATATTCTTGAATTATAAAATTATAAAGAAAAGAAAGCAAATTCTGGAAAGTCTAATATATGGTTGAGGTTGTTTGGCAGTATTTCTCACAGGTTAAGGAAAGTCGGCCCCGTTTAAATGTTTATGCCATTGAAGTGAGAGATAGACGATGTCTAGCTTTCGGGATCTGTCGTACAGACCGTAACTGTCATTCAGAATGCCCGTTCTAACATTTTGGTCTTTTGGTAATTTCAAAATAACATCCAGTGCCCCCCCGCCCCCGCTAACCTCCCTCTACCTACATTGCAGCGAACCAGCCCGTCTCGCTGTCCTCTGCACTCAGCAGCTCCGACAACGTCCGCAACACCTCATCCACATACGCATTGTTCAGGAGACGGGAGTGACCCTCCGAGTTGGTTGCCAGGCAACTCAAGGCGAAACATGCATTTTTACTGGCTCCCGTGTCCTCGCAGCTCAACATCTTCGCTAGGGATGAGATCTGTAATCATGATGTACATCCAAACTTTGCTGAAGGAGTCCAAAAATTTATTGCAGGATACAAACTTAATTGTTAAGTTGTGAGACCATAAAAATAATATGTGTTGAGCTGCAATTTATTGACTTGAACTGTTAATTCACTGAAAAGTTTAATATTAGATACTGTTATTATTCTTTCATCATGTATATTTTGAAAACATATTTAACAAAAAAATAAATGTTTGTTGATCATGCTACTAATTTGAGAATCATCAAATATAGAAACAAACTTACATCAGAGCTCCAGATAAGCTTTTGGTGTTGTGGGTATTTTACCCATGCATTTTAAATAAATGGGTATCAGTAATGCTATCTGCGTATTCAAATTTCTGTTACCCACTAGTTTTTACACATGTGGGTATTTAAGTTAAATATTTAAAAACACTATTCATCTAGTCCCTGCAAACTGGTGTCGTGTGGGTTTGAGAGCTTTATAGGACTCAAAAATACCACGATACTTCCACACGAAAGTGTGATGGCAAATGATCATGATGTGACTGTCATCGTGGAGTTTGGCAAGGTTGACGGAATGCCCGTTTATAATTTCAAAATAAGTTGCTGATTTGCTAATCGAATACGCAGGGTTACTTCACAATATTTTGATGATACGCACAAATTTTATTTTTGTAGCGTATCTGTAATGTTCGTTGCGTTTTTGATACGCTTGGATTATATTTTACTGCGTATTTCTGCATTTCTGATGCGTATTTCACGCAGATACGCGGCTTATCTGGAGCTCTGTACATAATGCTCTCAATGCTTCTGTCAAAGGTTAGGTCTACTAATGCCTACAGTGACAAATGCCTACAGTGACTAATGCCTACAGTGACAAATGCCTACAGTGACAAATGCCTACAGTGACAAATGCCTACAGTGACTAATGCCTACAAAAGATGTTGTTTTACTGTACACACTGTTTCACGCACCCCTGCACTCAAGTGGTCTACTCTACTTAGTGTTCACTAATGCCTACACTGTAAACACAGACTAATTAATGCCTTAGAAATGTTACTGGGATTGTGAAAATAATTGACCTTTGTATTAATTTATTTTCTTAGATGGTATTGTACTTTGATAACTGGAGCAGGAAATATGGATTTTCTGTAAAATGAGAGTAGAAGAATAATGTTTTAAAGTAATTGATGATAAACTTTGAGAAGGAAATTTGGACAGTGCTCTAGAGATCCCACAAGCAGTGCAGTTCCATGACTACATGACCAACACCTGGATTGATAACCATGCTCAGTTTTGGTTGGGATTGTGGAATCATCACGACAACATTGGCCCCAGAACCAACAATCATCTAGAAGGGTGGCATTGTCATCTTAACAAGGTCGTCCAGAGAGCCCATCCGAACATTTTTGCCTTCATCAAAGTGATCCAGCTTGATGCAGCTGGATGTGTTGTAAAACTGGGCTAACAAAGCAACTAGTTTGTGCAACTCTGTGACACATGAAATATGATAAATGAAAATGAATGATACATATGGATGATGTATGAGATGATATATGATGAATGTAAGTCTGATATGTATATAATGTACATGAAATATAAATGAAACTGAATGAAATGTATATATGGATAATGTAAGATGTGTGATAAAATGGAAGTGTGAATGTGATGTTTGAATCATAATGTACAATTAAAATATGATAAATGAAACTGAATGAAATGTATATATGGATAATGTAAGATGTGTGATAAAATGGGAGTGTGAAGTGATGTTTGAATCATAATGTACATGAAATATGATAAATGAAACTATGTATGATGTATGAAATATCAGAAGAAATGTATGAATAAAGAAAAACCACTAAACATCATTCGCTAGTGTTTGTCATTTGTCACTGTAGGCAATAGTACACTAAAATGGGCCAGTTCAACTCTGCAGAGAGGCAGCAGGGTGTCACATGTAAAACCACTGAAGCATATAAATGTTTGTTTTAGACTGTAGGCATTTGTCACTGTAGGCATCAGTGGACTCCTTCCTGTCGAACCCATTCAACAGGGTGTGTCACTAGCCATGTAGCTACTGTCGAACTCATAACGACACCCCAAAATAAAACTCGCACTAACTATTTTCCAAGTAGGTTTTACGTGTCATCTAAATTACGTTTGGTGTGGATATATGCTCAGTTTGCAAAATAAAAAAACTTTCAGTTGTTTATTTACCTAAAAAAAAAGACGATGCGAGTTAAGAAATGCGTAATTTTCTATCAGGTATTAATGTGCAAAATATTGGTTCAAATTTCCCTTGTTTAATGAAGCACCGACCGTTTGAAATCACCAATCCACTTTACTGCACCTTACGCTATAATTAATCCAGCAGGCAGGGGTAAGAAGTGAGAAAACAATTCAGCAGGCTGAAGGTTAAGTAAATGTTTTTAATTTCTCAAATAACAAGAGCAGTTCTTACCATTCTCTCTGACTCGTGTAATGAGAGCAGTCGTTTCCTCCCGACATCCATGTCACACAGCCGACCAATGGCGAACGCCGCATTCATTCCCCGCCCTGACAATATACACATACATTTGTGGTGTTTGATCATAAAACTTACACATTTTCCAATAGTCTTCAATAGTTTGACAGGACCACCTCAGAGGTTGGGTCAGACCTGAATTGGGGTCAGTATGTACTTCTGTCAAATAACTATAGAATGGGAATTACCCAGAAGTGGTATTCCCCAAACCTAAGCCAATCAGATGTCTCAATTTGTTTAAACATTTTTCTCTTTAAATTAAAGACTATATATGAGGTCTATACCTGTATTTATGGACCCCCCAGCCCCCAATCAATATCGACCCTGCTGCATGGGTGTGAGGTTGATATTGCTCTTTTCAGGACCATAACAGATAAAAAACCGCCTATGCAGTCTACAATTGTATACTGTCTCTAGTTCTCTACTCAATTCAAACTAGGGCATAGACTTTGAAGGTACATGCTTGAAAACTAAGATGTCTAAGAAATGGCGGGGACTAAAAAATAAGTTTGTTATATTGGTCAGTTCGTTATAAGCGTGTCCGTTATAAACGCAGTTTACAATATTTTCCTAACTTCATATTCAGTGGAACAACATGGTTCTGACACCAGTTCCACTTGTATTGCTGATATGGGAATTACACATAGTAGAGATATTTGGACTGTCCCATAGTAGAGATACTTGGACTGTCCCATAGTAGAGATACTTGGACTGTCCCATAATAGAGATACTTGGACTGTCCCATAGTAGAGATACTTGGACTGTCCCATAGTAGAGATACTTGGACTGTCCCATAATAGAGATACTTGGACTGTCCCATAGTAGAGATACTTGGACTGTCCAATAGTAGAGATACTTGGACTGTCCCATAGTAGAGATACTTGGACTGTCCAATAGTAGAGATACTTGGACTGTCCAATAGTAGAAAAACATGGACTGTCCCATAGTGGAAATACATGGACTGTCCCATAGTAGAAAAACAAGGGCTGTCCCATAGTAGAGATACATGGACTGTCCCATAGTAGAGATACATGGACTGTCCCATAGTAGAGATACTTGGACTGTCCAATAGTAGAGATACTTGGACTGTCCAATAGTAGAGATAAAACGACTGTCCCATAGTAGAGATACACTGGACTGTCCCATAGCAGAGATACATGGACTGTCCCATAGTAGAGATACAAGGACTGTCCCATAGTAGATATACTTGGACTGTCCAATAGTAGAGATACAAGGACTGTCCCATAGCAGAGATACTTGGACTGTCCCATAGTAGAGATACTTGGACTATCTTATAGTAGAGATACATGGACATCAAACCAAGCTACATCTGTAACATTGTATATCAGCATCACCAAACACGCCACCACACAAATACATGAACATGTATTGTATTGTTACATCGCATACCGTATTTCCTCTATTAGAAGCTGTCTATTAGAGGTTAGACAACTATTAATGCTAGCACAGTGGCAACTCACAACCCTACTGAATCTCAAATTCTAGCATCTAATTAAGGAAATATGGTATTGATAAAGCAGATTCATGGATATACAAATTGGGCATCTTCTATTGTAAATAAAGAGAATGGTAAATAAAAATCCATACCAGACTTCTCGTGCCATTATTGTTTGTTGCGTATTTCCTTTTGATGACAGCTCAGATTTTCTATGTGTCAAGTTTTAAATATCATATGATGTATTGTTACAATCGAGATTTGTATTATACCTCAACAAAGAGTATCATTACTATGGTTACAGACTTAAAAAATACTGAATTTGAGTATATGAATACTGCAACATCTTTAGCAGACTACAACAGTCAGTGGTTTCAAAAGTTGCCGTCACATGACACAATGACAACTGGCGTCACATGACATGGTGACAACTGTCATCACATGACATGATGACAACTGCTGTCACATGACACAATGACAACTGCCGTCACATGACATGATGACAACTACCGTCATATGACACAAAGACAACTCATCACAGACACGATGACAACTGCCGTCACAGGACATGGTGACAACTGCCATCACATGACACAATGACAACTGCCGTCACATGACACAAAGACAACTGTCATCAGACACAATGACAACTGCCATGACAACGATGACAACTGCTGTCACATGACACAATGACAACTGCCGTCACATGACATCGTGACAACTGCCATCACATGACACAATGACAACTGCCGTCACATGACACAATGACAACTGTCATCAGACACAATGACAACTGTCATCAGACACAATGACAACTGTAATCCGACACAATGACAACTGCCGTCACATGACACAATGACAACTGTCATCAGACACAATGACAACTGCCTTCACATGACACAATGACTAAAAGACAACTGTCATCACAGACACAATGCCAACTGCCATCACATGACACAAAGACAACTGCCGTCAGACACAATGACAACTGTCATCAGACACAATGACAACTGTCATCCGACACAATGACAACTGCCATCACATGACATGATGGCAGCTGTCATTGTGTCTGATGGCACAATGGCAACGGTCATCGGCCACAATGACAACTGCCGTCACATGACACAAGGACAACTGTCATCACAAACACAATGACAACTGCCATCACAGACACAATGACAACTGCCATCACATGACACAAAGACAACTGTCATCAGACACAATGACAACTGCCATCACATGACATGATGGAAATTGTCATCAGACACAATGACAACTGCCGTCATATGACACTATGACAACTGCCATCACATGACACAAAGACAACTGTCTACAGACACAATGACAACTGCCATCACATGACACAATGACAACTGCCATCACATGACACAAAGACAACTGTCATCACATGACACAATGACAACTGCCGTCACATGACACAATGTCAACTGCCATCACATGACATGATGGCAACTGTCATCAGACACAATGACAACTGCCATCACATGACACAATGACAACTGCCATCACATGACACAATGACAACTGTCATCAGACACAATGACAACTGCCATCACATGACACGATGACAGCTGCCGTCACATGACACGATGACAAATGCCGTCACATGACACAATGGCAACTGTCATCAGACACAATGACAACTGTCAGACACAATGACACCTACAGTTAAAACAAGGAAACCACAGATTGTATAAAACAACTCACAGATATAACACAATATATTCACATCAAATTCTATTCAGCTAATAAACTGGCTCTATCAAACGCAGCACTCAACTCACGTGATCTGAGCATGTGCTCAACTGGGCATGCAAACAAGACATTGTCTACCAGGGCCCAGTTCTGTCCTCGTGCTACACAACACACACAAGTACAACAAACACAATACAGTGTCACTTCTAAGGACAGTGGCTGTAAGATAAAGAATTAAAAGAAAGTCTAGGAATTTTGTATCAAAACGAAACAAAAACATATTTCCTAGCAATAAGTCAATAAGATAAGTTGGGCTTAAAGCATCTTTGAGCTTTCTCAATCACCAGTGTATCTTGGAGATGAAGTGAGTGAGTTTGGTTTTACGCCGCTTTTAGCAATATTCCAGCAAAATCACAGCGGGGGACACCAGAAATGGGCTTCATACATTGTACCCATGTCGGGAATCGAAACGGGTCTTCGGCGTGACGAGCGAACGCTTTAACCACTAGGCTACTCGACCGCCCCTCTTGGAGATGGAAATATCAGACCTTTTCATTTTTTCAGCCATAATTATGTACTTAAAGATGCCACATGTTAAAAATATCTTTTCAAGTGTTAGAAAGAAAATGGCTTGCCAACCATTTAAACATGTCTGATAATGTTCAAATATATTTTACAAAATTTTCCAAATGTTTACAATTTGACATTGCCAGTGGGCTGAAAAAGGCCCTAATTCTCTACCCCCTCCAAATTGGATTGGATGGCTGTTATTAGAGTCATGTCATATGAACCAGACTGAATACCAAGCTATTCCAACAGATGGGCCAAGGATACATGTCATTATAGACGTGATATATAAAACACGAGATAATCGAGGATGGGTTTTGAGCAATATTTCAGTAATGGCAGTTCAATATACAGTATGTGAGCAATATTTCAATATATCATCTCAATATGCAATGTATGAACAATATTTCAGTATATCAACTCAATATATAACATGAGCAATATTTCATCTAGCATGGCAATGTGTAAACAATCACATCCCAAATGATGAAAACATGTTCACAATTTTTTTTCTGAAAACAAAGTACATTGTATATCCTTTGGTGACTGCTTTTCACAAAACATAATATAGCTACAAAATGCAAATTGTTTTGCAAGTTATATGCACCTAATTAGCATATTGCATGTCAAAAACACTCCCATGCCTCATTAAATACGACAACAATTATTTGCGCCTCAGATTTCAAAGCTAAAAGTTGGGAACTAATTAACATATTTAATTTTTAAAAAATCCCTTTATGAGCTGACTGCAGCATTAAAGAACAAACAAACATCTTTCCCATTTAAACTGGACCCATGAAGATGAGGGCTAGAATAGGTCTTCAGCAACCCATGTTTGCCATAAAAGGCGACTATGCTTGTCGTAAGAGGTGACTAACGGAAGCGGGTGGTCAGGTTCGCTGACTTGGTTGATGCATGTCATCGATCCCAATCACGTGGATCGATGCTCATGATGTCAATCACTGGATTGTCTGGTCCAGACTTGATTGTTTACAAACAAACAAACATCTTTCCCATTTATACAGGACCCGTGAAGATGAGGGCTAGAATAGGTCTTCAGCAACCCATGTTTGCCATAAAAGGCGACTATGCTTGTGGTAATTTAAGAGGTGACTAACGGGATCGGGTGGTCAGCTTCGCTGACTTGGTTGATCCCAATTGCGTGGATCAATGCTCATGATGTCAATCACTAGATTGTCTGGTCCAGACTTGATTGTTTACAAACATACAAACATCTTTCCGATTTATACTGGCTCACATGGCTGGTGTGACAAAGAAAGGATTTTGAAGAGATGCCATCATCAAACTGAGGCAATGAGTGAGTATGTAGGGAACCTGAACTTGGCATCTAAAACATGTTACCGTATTCGACATAATAAGCACCCAGGGCATTCTCAAAATTAGAAATAGGGGGCTCTTATTAGAATATTATTTTGGTGAAAAACAACAGAGTTGAAAGATCTTACATTTCGTGGTTTATGCTGACAGCCTGAAATGTTTATATACGACAGATATATTTTTCCAGAATTTAATTTCCCATAAGTAAGGGTACATCTAACATACGTATTATACAAGAATAAATATGTCTTGTGTACATTGATCAATCGGAAGGGGTGCTAATTGGGATTGTTCACTAGCCAATATATTAGCAAGTATCGCCATGGGTGCTTATTAGAGCGAGGCGCTTATAACGTCGAATACGGTAAATCAGCAATTTTCAAACCAATTATTATTTGCATGTCAGACTGTATGGGTTTGATGAAAATATCAGCTTTTGCAATAAATTGTTCCGAGTTTCACTACTACCCAAACTCCTCAAAATGTATAAACTTTCACAACACAAGCTAAAACAAGTTATTTTTTATATTTTTTATTATTTAATTATTAATTTGTTGTACATGTGACAATGTAGTAAAGTCAACATCTAGATAACAGGCAATATTTTCTTTATTTTATTCACTCTGTAACCATGGTAACATATTTTATATTGTGTTGGGGGAATTTGGTTCAAAATATCGTAATAAAGTGTAATGTCGAAAATGGTGTCAAGGCAACATCTCTGCAAACTGCCATGATGGACTCTATAAAAGTCAAGCACCAAGCATTAACAGCTTTATTTTGGAAGAAAAACTTTTTTTTGCAAGAAGGTAATGAATATCATAACATTTCATAAATACTCAAAACAATTTAAGAATAAATATGTTCTTAGTTACTGTTTGTATAAGCTGTACAACGGCAAAAAAACATTTGAGATGTATTGCTTCACACACAAGGAGCCATCAGTTATAAACACACACTGCATCGGAGTCCAGCTGAGTTTGTGTGACTGTGATGCAGTGTGACATCACAGTACAACTAATTGAGGACAGTACGGCCCAGACTGGCTATGTCTGTTATAGCCTGACAATCACCTTCACAGCCCTGATAGTTAATCTTCAGACATGACTCCGTGTGGCTCGCATTACTGGGGGCCATCTCAAAGGTTCAAATTCACCAAAAAGAAATTGACATATTCTTGGCAAAGACCATGTTTGAATTCATCTCATGAGAAATGTTAATATTTTGAATAACTTTTCTCGATAACTGTAATTAACATGAATCACCCATGCATGGCTGGTGGGACCAGTAGCTCTTTATAATAATGAGTGAGTGGGTGGGTTGGGTTTAACGCCACTTTTAACAGTATTCCAGTTATATCACGGCGTGTCAGCTTAATGTGGGAGGAAAGCCCGAAGTGATGCAGGTCTCAGACTTTTACCACTTCGGTGAAACCCACGAGCGCGGTATGGTGCTGACAAACCTAGAAACATAATCGTAGTGAACCGGGATTCGAACCCACAATCATAGGTTTCAGGTGTGCCCAAGGGACACGAATCTGCACAACAAATCGCGGCGCCTTAGACGACTGTGCCACCCGTGTCCCCTTTATCATAATGAGCCAAATGACAATTGAATAGAACTTCCAGAATAATCCCTTATCTTGGGGTTCACACTCCCCAACCTTGAACTATTTAACAGAGGGTATTCTGAATGACAGCTATGGGTTTTATGATTATATGTAGATGGTCAATCTAGGCCATCTTTAAGCCATTCCAGAATGTTCCTTTTATCAGTTTTCATTTTTTTATCGAGAATACGTCAAAATATGTTTCGAAGCATAGTCACCAGTTTGAAACTAGTGTTGTAAAGCTCGAGAAAGCTGCCTTCTGATTTGCTAATGTCGGTTTCTTGTCATTCATTGGTTGGTCAAAGTTTGCAAAAGGTCGTTGTGATATGACCCGTAATGGGATGTCCTCGGATCTTAGTTTAGCGGTAGCTAAAACTAATCTGATTTTAATGAGATTGGTTTCTTTAAAATTAAGGTTTTATAATGTTTTATTTTGGTATGTACACTAAAATATCAACAAGCAGAAATATGAGTAGATTTTGCACATGAAAACAATGTACCGTATTCGACGTAATAAGCGCCCAGGGCGCTCTCAAAATTAGAAATAGGGGGCTCTTATTAGAATATTAATTTGGTGAAAAAAACAGAGTTGAAAGATGAATTTCGTGGTTTATGCTGACAGCCTGAAATGTTTATGTACCCATAATTAAGGGTGCGTATAACACACGAGTGTGTATTATACGCGAATAAATAAGTCTTCTGTACATTGATCAATCGGAAGGGGTGCTAATTTGGATTGTTCACCAGCCAATATATCAGCAAATATCGCCGTGGGCGCTTATTAGAGCGGGGCGCTTATTACGTCGAATACGGTATTCAGAAAATGATGATATGCAATCCAGCTGGTCATTTTCTGAATAAGCTTCTCATATTTCTGCCAGTCTATATTCCAGTGTGCAAAACAGACAAATAGCATGCACATTTCAACGTTTTGAACACAGGTTAGTTTGTTTCTTTAGTTGGACTGAATGTTTGTCAAGAGGAGTTGTTCAGCTGTCAAATGAAATAAGATCGTGTAAATTTTCATTTCTGTTTGACAAAATGACAAACAGTGCAGCACAGACCGACCGGTTGATGTGGAGATAATCGCAGATACACACATCCCTTGTGCTTCTCCAGACTACACATAAATAAGCCACATGGCAGGCTGTGCAGTAGCCTTGCTCCAAGGCTGTACTGAAAGAAAAGTCCATGGATGATATTAACTCTATCCTCCTAATAAGCGAGTCTATACATGTGGACAGTACAGCCTCGTGAAGGATGCCAGTCTCTTACCTGTTCTTATTACTTACATAATCTAGAAATGATGATTTAAACTAATAATTATTGCCTTAGAGACTTGTGCAAGTCTAACTGTGGAGACTTGGTTTGAGTTTATATGGTGCAATGACCGCAATTGAGAGGGGAGACACTCCAATCCTTCAGTGGAAAACAGGCTCTGTCCGCAATGTGACTGCAATTCCGTGGAAGATAAGGAACACTTCCTGCTCTGGTCAACTGTATGCAGACATCAGGAACAACCCGATGGCATTGCTAGAAATAGGTGACCCAGGTCAGTTTGACAAAACCAACATCTTAAAGCAAATTATGACCCTCTTAAAGAATGTTCAAGTTTTGCTGCCAGAACTGTTTTCCACATGTTTCAGCTGAGACTGTAGTCTGTCTTACAGACCCTGATACAAATATATCAAATACAGCCCATGCAAGTCTATAATTTTTGGCAAGTCTAGATTTCTGCAGTATCAGGAATGAAGAGAGACTCTGGGCTCCTTTTTATTAATTTAACAAAAAATAATTTAACAACTTTATTTTTCGGCACGATATGTTCATTTCAGAGACTAGAAGTTAGTCAACTGAGACTGAAGTAGTAGCCAAAATAGGATAATTCTGTTTCAGTTATTAACATGTAACAATTACAGTATTACAGTCAGATTGTCAGTGATTATCTTGGAAAAAAATACATTGATGTACGTGATGTACATTGCAAATACCTCTAAAATCTGTAGTGAGTGAGTGAGTGAGTATGGTTTTACGCCGCTTTTAGCAATATTCCAGCAATATCACGGAGGGGGACACCAGAAATGGGCTTCACACATTGTACCCATGTCAGGAATCGAACCCGGGTCTTCGGCGTGATGAGCGAACGCTTTATCCACAAGGCTACCCGACCGCCCCTCTAAAATCTGTAAAGTAGGGTGTATGGAATGGGTTTTCTTTGTCGCGTGAATTTTCATTTTCATCATTTTTTTATGCATTTATGTTTGCCATGTTCCCATCACTTCTATTTTGTACCAACCCCCAAGTGCGTATGTACAATAAAATTCTTGATTCTTGATATCAAACACTGAAACATGTCAAACAGTCTGTGCCAAACACCTTCAAGTCTACCAGGATACTCCAACCTTGTCACTTGCCACCATTAGAGATTAGTGTTAATATATGGGTTTTAAAATGAGCTTTCTTCACCGGTAGAGATCATACTAGACTCAGGCTTTAGACTAGTGGCTTAAGTTTGCAAATTGCTTAAATCATGATTGAGTGAGTTGGGCTAAACATGGTGTTTAGCAATATTCCAGCCACGTGACAGAGACCAAGAAGACATTACCTTCTTTGCTGGGTTTATGAATCCGACAATCTCCAAAACAAAAACTCAAAAAGACAATAATCAGAATTATTTTTGTTTTATCTCGATGACGGTCAAGATTGCTTACCACTAGAACATATTTTTTTCAGTGATAAATCCTCATTACAAGTCAGATTTTTAGATTCGTAATATTTATAAGAACCCAAACCAGGCAATATTGTCTTTTTATTACCTACCTGTCCAAATCAATCTTTAAGATGATTAAACAAATACTGCACAATGCATTTTATTTATCTATTTATCAACCTACTGACCAATTTTTTAAATATCAAAATCTGTTAAGATAAAACAGTCTGGCCAAACAGGCTTCATACATTATGCTCATGAGGGAAGTGGAACACTTTAAGAGGCTATCAAATCACCCATTAACACTTACATGTGTACATACATGTCTTTCAGTAAATCCTTATTCACTTCATCAAAATGTTGTTATGTTTAAAACCTTATCCTTATCTTGACAAGAGTTCCTGAATATTGTCCTAAATACTTTTGACACAACCCCTTATCACTGTTGTTGCAATCTCCATTGAATCGATAATCTGTACAGTCATATAGCATGCTCCCTGCATGCTGCTATTCCCATTGTATACAGGCTTATTATAACCTGGGTGTTTAGAGAAGGCAAGGATGTAACAGTGGTCCAGCATACATCGTTATTCCACCCAGGTAGGTGTGTTATCACTTGAAGACGTTGCACTGTAGCTTTTGTACGGAGCAGACAATGTCAACGCGCTTCATGGGTCATGGCTCTCGCAGCAGTGTCCAGGGGCGAGTCACTGAGCGTTCAAGGGTACACTCGAAGGTTTTAGGTCCAAGCAAATATTGTTGTGTCACCAGACATGGGCTTATACCCTCTGGCTGTTTTTTTCACATTGTTAGAACTTGTATTTATTATCCTTGACCTTGTGAATATTTAATTCAAAATGGAAGCATGTTTTCATTGTGTCTGTTTGGGAATCATTTTTGATGAATTGGTTAAAATATGTTGAAAATTGGCTGTGTAAAATAACACGTATCATGAATGTAGATGGATATTTTTTCTTAATTATTATATCAGAAACACAGATAAAGTATCATTATAATATTTTAAAAACTACTTTGGTCATTGCATATTTATAACACAATGAAAGACATCTTTCATGATTACATTATGAATACACAATTCTGTGGTCAACCAAAATGTCAAATTTCACAAAAACTGAAAAAGGTAAGATTTTAGGATAGCATTTGTTTGTTTATTTGTCGTTTAACACAGTACTCAGCAATATTCCAGCTACATGATGGCGGTCTGTAAATAATTGAGTCTGGACCAGACAACCCAGATGGGGTACGATGACATTTTAAAAAATCAAGTTGCTGAGCAGGAAATGAATTACATGCTTTATTTGTCAACACTGAATTTTATTGTAGGATTTTGTTTGACAGAATTATCCCTGGTACTCCATGATCAAAAATGGGGTTTAAATTGTTCAGCAGTGTTTAGATTAGTGGACACCCTCGCCAGTGTGTCTGACCCTGAGTGCTAACCTATCCACAGTGCATTATAGTGTTATATTACACATGTGTTATTGATGTTTTTGATATTTGCACATGCAGTTTAGCTGATTGGTCAGTTGAAGATATATGATGTCACACTGCTTCATTGTTGCCAACAATAGGATATGATGTCATCCATTGTTTGAGACATCATAAATAGGCTCTCAACAGTGAAGTTTCTGTTTCATTACCGGTATCATGTTACATGTATATGTTTTTCTTCATTTTGTTCTGAAAATGACAATAAGTAAAATGTAGAGTAGACAGGATGAATGTCTGATAGTCTGTCCTAAGGATCTGATCATTTGATTTTCTGAGGTGCCCTGCCTTGGATTGTTTTTAAAAATAATCTGTTCCCATAAATGCTGGAAAAATGCTGTTTTACACACAAAAATATTGTGAAGATTCTGGATGTTTTGAAAATAATGTGCTGTTGGTTCCCCCAAATTGTTTGTCTTCTTTCCCCCAAAATTGTTTTGTTTTTAAGCAAGGACTGAAGAAATATTCTGTCAACAAACTTCCTGTTGCCCCCTTCCCCTGAGAATGTCTCAGTGATGATCCCTAGGTGAATGAATGGCATAAACCTCTACCCTTGGCTGAACTGAATGATTATCCTGTCCTCAAATGCCATTCTTTGGGTGTCGTCTCAGCTGCTTATCAAATTATCCTACCCATGCCCAAGGGTTCAAAATAGCAGGACTCAATGGAGACTGTTTTCATGATAACCCCACCAATAGTGTAAATTTGACCTCCCAAAATACCTGTTTGATTGGCATTGGCAAATAAGTAAGAAAAACGTTGAACTTTATCATGTTAATTGATAATAACTTTTGGTTTATTGTCTTTAGCCTGAAAACGGTGTAAGAATCTACATCGAAATGTTGCTATATGCAATAAACCAGAAGTTGTTATCCATAAAGTTGTACATTTTCTTTCCCAAATACCTGTCCATTCTATTTACGATCCTACCCCAAATAGCTTATTCTTTACTATTCCCTATCGCTTGACGAAAACCCTTAAAGTAAATTACCTTTCTCTCTTCAGAAGATACAACATTAACAATGGCTACCCGCTCAGTCCAACAGGACAGTCAGAGACTGGATATGTCCAACATGACGCTAGAGGATGACGACAAGAACCTTCTGTTCTGGGCCGCAGCAGCAGGAGACACACCCAGGGTGCAAGACTGTCTCTCAAAGAAGAAATGTAACATTGATAGACGTGTGCTCAAAGGAAGAACAGCCGTGATGGAGGCAGCTGTTCGAGGCAAGCAGACGACATTTGAGCTGTTGGTGACAGCAGGCGCAGATTTAACCTTGGTTGATGATGAGGGTGATTCTTGTTTAATTTTGGCTGCTGAGGGTAAAAACAGATCCATAGTTCAAAACTTGCTGAAACAAGATAAGGTGAATGTTAACAGCAGAGGTTCTGAAAACAGAACTGCAGTGATGGAGGCGGCCATAGTTGGTGACTTTGAGATTTATGATGATTTGGTTTCTGCAGGAGCAGACATTTTGCTCTGTGACAGCAATGGCAACATGTGTCTACATCTGGCAGCCCAAAGTGGGAGTGCAAAAATAGTTGAAAATTCACTCCAGAAAAAAATTGACATTAATAAACGGGGTCAAGTTGGGCAGACGCCAGTAATGATGGCTACCTTTGCAGCAAAGAAGAATGTGTTCGACTTGTTGGTTACCAAGGGAGCAGATGTATCACTCGTGGATGCGAACAACAATGGCTGCCTCATGATGGCAGTATTTTCTGGAGATGCAGCAATGTTGAAAAGGGTTTTAGGGATGGGGAAGTTTGAGATAAACAAAGCCGGAGAGAAGAGGATGACTCCTGCCATGATGGCAGCATTGCTTGGCAACAAAGAATCTTTTGATCTGTTGTTAGCTGCTGGAGCAGATCTAAAACTACAGAATGAATTCGGGAATGATTTCTTATTCTGGGGAGCCAGCGGTGGCAATTCGAAAATTGTCAAATATTTGTTATCACTGAAACTGTTTGATGTAAACCGGCAACAGGAACATGGATTATCTCCCTTACATATAGCAATCACTAAAGGTCACAAAGAAGTGTTTGACATTTTGGTGTCTGAAAAAGGGGATGTTAACAGTCGTAACGACCAACTTTACAACAGTCTGATGATAGCCTCCGATACTGGACATGCCAATATTGTAAGAAAACTGATCTCAATGAACAAGATCAGTCTGAATGATCGGGAAGAGAACGGATGGACAGCTGTAATGATTGCAGCCAAATGTGGCCATATTGAAGTCTTTGATGTCCTAGTATCATCTGGAGCCGATGCCTCTCTCGTGGACAAGGACAGTAATGACTGCCTGATGCTGGCGTGTATCTACGGTCAAGCGGTGATGGTGAGGCATCTGTTGTCCATGACCATGTACAACATCAACCGCAGAGGAATCTACGGCTGGACTCCTGTCATGGCAGCCATCAACGAGGGTCATCCAGACGTGTTTGAGGTGCTGGTGGAGTCTGGGGCAGACATGACCCTCCTGGACGAGAGAGGCAGCAATTGCCTCATCCTGGCCTGTATGGGAGGGAATGTAACCATCGTACAGCAACTGTTGTCCATGAAGGTGTTTGACTTGGAGTATAAAGGTCTTGACGACAGCGCTGTTACTGCAGCTGCGCGGGAGGGGCAGACGGACGTTGTTCAGCTGCTCATCGACGAAGGGGTCACGATAGACTTGTGATCAGTGAATAGAGCCATGGTTAAAGTCCAGTTGAAAATGCTGGCTGATACAAGAAGTTGAGAAGACTCAGGCCCATCTGACTGAAGTCAGTTTGTCTCTCATGTGAAGCAGTGGTCTAACTTTATGATGCCGCACCTTGCTGTGCAGAGTTGCTTCCCTTAGTTGCTAGGATTCACTTGCCAGGATTCACTTTCCATGGGTTCAAGACCCAAATTTACCTGATAACTGGTCTATCACCAGACCCGTCTGTTTCAGGGTAGCAGAAATGCTGAGCGGGGATTCGACAGTTCAGATAAGACCCTGCTCAGCTATAGGAGAGGAGGATTTTGTATCGCACAGTCACTATATTTGGAGGTGAATAGCTTGGATGCAGTGATTGAATTTATTAGCATCAAGAGCTTCACTGAGTACAATGGACAGCACCATCTTGGATACAGCATTACATGCAAGTAATGTTAGCGACTGATCACCTCGATATCTGTAATGTGATAAACGTTCTTGAACTGCATCACTTCGGGCTTTTCTCCCCAAACAAACTGATACACTGTTTAAAGTGTTCAACCACAACACACTCACTCATTCTTGAAAACCACAGTTGATGAAACGCACTTTGATGATATAGCCTTAAAGAAGAACAAAATCAACAAAGTAACTATTTGGGAATCAACACATTCTTCAGAACTCTGGAGACAAAAGTAGCAATGGAAATTACGCTACAAAATGTTCTTGTCTTCAAAGGTTCCATGCAGAAACCTGGTTTCTATGGAAGACGTTGGATGATCTCGTTGGATGGTGCATTAATTGGTGCAGTATATCAGCCAAATACTCATGAAACAAGACATTCTGTTTTGTTGTAGAATATATGTTTAGATATATTTATGCTCATATTAGACTGTTTTGTTGCAACTTTGTAAAGTGCTTACATATAGTATATCTAGTCATCCTTATTATAGTTTACCCCTCAACAAGGGAGGTTACTCTTGACTACTGATTGAACATTGTCTCTGAACATACAGGGAATTCCAAAAATAGTGAATTCCAAAAGAATATTATAAGATCAGTTTCTTACCCAATATCAATTCTTTCAATTAACAGAAACAACTCAATCATTTGAGGATTAAATTTAAAGTTGCTGCAGACAGTTCCACTGTTACCATGGTTACATCCAACAATCACTGGAGGTAAAGATGACCACAAATACAAACATTACCGCAGTCGACAAGAAACAAGATGGATGGATGTGACGCTTAATTTAATTTTTTCTCCTATCAAGCAATACAATTTCAAATATAACCCATTCAGCATTAGTTAGGTGACCTGCATCTGTAATTATTCAGGTTATTCTGCACACATTCAAACTTTTTTACTGAGCATTACTCATACAATCTGAGCGTATTCATAAATATTCTGTGGGCATTTTACATATCTTTTAGAATAAATAGCTTGGCTTGACTAGGTAGACAGCAAGTATAATTTACACGACATTTGAAAAATATTCATGTTCAAGCTAAAATCAAAAGCAAACATCCGATATTTGCAGGAGGACAAAAAAACATGGATGTGCACGGATCATTTGTAGTCAGACCCCAGACATTGGTGAAGGGCTTGACTCTGTGACTGCAACATATCTCAATTCACTTGATTAACACAAATCCCAAACCAAATATAATGCACTCACCTGCTTCATCGACTCCGAGCGACACAACCAGCTTGGACAGGATGTGTTGGGAGCTGGGATTGTTGAGTATTTTACTGCAGCCATCTTCAGCTATGCACAATCTGTAGGGAGACACAACAACACAATCTGTAGGGAGACACAACAACACAATCTGTAGGGAGACACAACACAATCCATTTCATAAATCTTTTAACTAAAAGCCTAGGCAAGTCTAGATCAAACCAAGTCCAGTTTCCTTGATACATGAAAACATCAGAAGAGGAAATGTTCTTTTTAAAAAAACCAAAACAATTATTTTCAAGAAATGTTTTCATAGACTAAGTGTAAGTCTAGGAGACACAACAACAGTCTATCGGGAAACACCAGGGATTTTATCTAGGATTCCAAATTGGCAGTCATATTAGCATGATTAGGAAAATCAAACAATAGTTATCATTGTTAATAAATCTAAGAATACTACCTCTATTACATCATTGCCAAATTCCTGTATTTTGCCTGCAATCACACTAAACTAAAATTTCAGAATTTCAACAGAAGTCCTCTTCACTCTAAATTATACAACAATCAGTTGTTCCTGCAATAGCACTCATTTAGACCATAGTGCTCTTGTGCGTGAAGGCAGGGGGGGAAAACTCACTTCTTACCAAACATCAATCAGAAAGAGACAGATTATTGAGGAGGTGGGAGGGAGTACTTCTCATGTAATAGAGGTAGTATTCTTAGAATTATTAACAAATAAAATGTATTTCTTGAATTAACACTGATTTGTTCAAAATTGGGACTATTTTCAAGTTATTTTTTCTTGATATTCACAAGTATTTTAATACTGCAAGCAAATCATTCCTGTACAATAACATTAAGGCCCCCTCCTGTCAACAGTGAAATACAAGTCACCTCGTAAACACAATACTGTAAATCTGGAAAGTTTTGAGAGAAGGACAGTGCCACACACACGCATAGTTTCATGATGGAGTTGTTTTTGTAGACTAACAACAAGCATAGACGTAAGGAGGCATGTTTCATTTATTCACTTCCACACATTTAATTGTTTGATAGGCATTACTTAGAAGTTGACAGAGGTTATTGTGGAGACAATTTATGTATAACAACTTTTTAGGTATAGATCCTTATACCATTGTCAAGCAAGGCTAAACAACTTCCACACATTGTCAACCAGTCAGTTGCATGATTAAATATATAATCCCTCACTTCTTAGTTCTTTAATTACACATTGTCACTCAGTGTAAAGAGACGAATCAGGAAAGTCCACGAACCTGCCACATCTCGTTAAGTTGCTAACATAACACTGAATAGTCCAGATATACGCCAGCCAGTCTATACTGTTAGATAAACACACTACTCCAACCTCCCTGTCAACTACAACAACTCATGCGTTGTTTATAGTACATAAACCAATGACTAACGCAGAGTTCATCCCCCCCACCTCCGGCAAAATTCCAACTTCTTCAAACTCTGTAGATGCAACCCTAATACTCCCTTGGGCTGCTTCTTTTTTCCGGACAAACCCCTTCTTCCATTTTGGCAGAACACACTAAATGGCCTGATGAGCCCCTGTGCGAAATATGCATGTCGGAAAGCGCACGTAAAATCTCCAAATCACCAAATCACCATCACCATCACCAGAGTTACCATTTCACCACAACGCCATATAAAATCTATATTTGATCTTTGGTAATCTCATCCACAGTGTGTCACAAAATTTTCCAAACGCAGGTAAGGCTTTTTATTAGCCACTTGCAATAATTTCATGGCCCAAAACTTTCCAGATTTAGTACAACTGTATTAATATGAAATGGGATATATTTTCTTCCAATTTGGGAATTGTTACTGACATTTGCTGTGGATTTGCTAGATAAACCCTGAACACATCCACATGCTCAGTCACGACTTGTGAAATAATGGAAAAATGTCAATCTCGTTAAAATCAGATCTACCACTAAACAAAGATCTGAAGACATCCCATTACGGGTCATGTCAGAACGATCTTTCATCTGACCAATCAGAGTGTTGATTACCAGTATGGGAAAGTGACAGTCGGAATGTGTTTTCTAATTACACAACCGCGAAAAGGTTAATATGGGGTATTGCTAACGACTGATTCTGTCAAAATCATTGTCTATATTTCGCTTCAGTTTGATAAACATTTAAATCTGAAGAGACTTTCCATAGCCCGTGAAAAGTACTGCCATACAATCGTTGCCATCTACGAGACAGTTCAGAATTTTCTTTCATTCAGTTTTCAAATTTTGAATCAAGTTCTTAAATCGTAGTCTGAAATGGAAGTTGCCAGTTTAAAACTAGTGCAGATTTGCTCTAGAAAGCTGACTTATGTCCAGTTCTTGTTAGTCATTTCATTGGTCAGTTAAAATTTGCAAAATGTTGTTCTGACGTAGCTAGTAATGGGATTATGGGATGTCCTCATGTCGTTGTTTAGCGGTAGCGGTTATTAATCAGACTAGGATAATCTTTGCTTTATCTGCCATTTAGACAGATTCTATTATAGGTTTAATTCTAATCACAGGATGAAATGTCTTTCTGAAAAGGATTTTTATCAATTATGATAATCATTGTATCACTAAGCCTTATTCATGTTATTTGCTGCAGGTCAATATATTATGTTTTTCAATGACCATGAATTTTGTTGTTTGTTCAAGAATGAGACATATCTTTGTTTTATTAACAGGATTGACGGACTGATCATTTAACATGGTTGGAAAGGCCGATAAATTCATGGATTGTTCAAGGGAAGTTTCGTTAAATGATGTATAGTGTCAGCCATCTTGTTCATAACCAATTCAATTGTACGACATTAGCTTTCCTCAATCAGGCCATTGTTTATATCTTATGGATTAGGGAGACGGGTGGCCCAGTCGTCTAAGGCACCGCAATTCACTGCAGAGTTGCATCCCTTGAGCATGCCAGAAACCTATGATTGTGGGTTCAAATCTGGTTCACCACGATTATGTTTCTAGGGTTGTCAGCACCATACCCATGCAATTTGATGTGCAGAGTTGCATCCCTTGGGCACACCAAAGACCTATGACCATGGGTTCGAATCTCGGTTTGCCCTGACTAAGTGTTAAATGTTGAAAGTTAGTTCATAAATATAATGAGATCTTGCGAAAACGAGAGCAAGACTCCATTCAAGATGGCGGCTCCCAGCGAGTGATCACATTCAATGTTGCCAGGGTAACATGTAACTGGTAAGTGATGTTCTATGTGATAGTAACGGATATTCTATGTGAAGTAAGGGTTGGTTGGTTGGTTTGGTTTGTTGTTTAACGCCGCACTCAGCAATATTCCAGCTATATGACGTCGGTCTGTAATTATTCGAGTCTGGACCAGACAATCCAGTGATTAATATCATGAGCATCGATCCACACAATTGGGATCGATGACATGCATCAACCAAGTCATAGAGCCTGACCACCCAATCCTGTTAGTCGCCTTTTACGACAAGCATAGTCACCTTTTACAGGTGAAGTAAGGGAGGTAGGTTGCAGAGAACAGTTAGACATTAGTCTCTGGTTGAGGGTGCTGCTATGTGCGCACGTTCATGTCTTGTTATCAAATATATAACCGAATAAAACACCCTTGACTCAAGGTATCATCGTTGTGTCACCTGGGCCATATTCTGATCTAACACTGGTTCCAGGTTTGTCAGCACCATACCCGTGGATGTCGGAGACATGCATCACACAGTACCATGCTATAAATGGAATGCTGTATGGAGCTGCATTAAAAACCCATCTCAGACAATGAGTGAGTGAGTGAGTGAGTGAGTGAGTGAGTGAGTGAGTGAGTGAGTGAGTGAGTGAGTGAGTGAGTGAGTGAGTGAGTGAGTGAGTGAGTGAGTGAGTGAGTGAGTGAGGTTCAATGTCGCTTTTAACATTATTCCAGTTCTATCGCGTTGTGTCAGCTGAATGTGGGAGGAAAGGCTGAAGTGATGCAGGTCTCAGACGTTTACCACTTCGGTGAAACCCACGAGCACGGGTATGGTGCTGACAAACCTTGAAACATAATCAGGGCGAACCGGGATTCGAACCCATCAGACAATGAAGATGGTTTCAACCGTATTTCAACAACACATCATCAATACTACATTCTACCATCACCATGACAACACTGAGCTGGTATGCAGTGTTGTGGTCACGTGTCATGTTTTCAGTCGATCAATGAAACGAGGCAGTGTTCTACTAGCAGAAATCAAATGAGCTGACACTTTTCATCTCACTCCACTGGATCAACCAGTAATGACAACGCCAGGACATTCGAAATGTTTCTCTGTTCACCCAGCAGTGAATGGGTACCCGGTAGGATGTGATGGTAATGTGGCTGTTAGCCTTCTAGCGCCTCACAGGGAGATCAGAAAGATATCGAGTGCACACTGATCTATTAACCATAAATAATCGTGTAGCGTTATGAGCATCCACTTGGTAAATGGAATTTGGCACATTATAAATGCACATATCATCATCATCATCATCATCATCATCATCATCATCATTATTATTAATAATCTTTAATTCATCATCATCATCATCATCATTATTATTAATAATCTTTAATTCGTCATTTGTCTGTACCTAGCAATGACTAGAGCAGCGTTGCTGGCTGTCCACAAGTTGTCCGTGTGGAGCAATGCTGTCACATTGTCCAACATGGCGTCCACACAATCAGCACTCAGAATCCAGTTACGACCTTCGTTACTTTCAGCCTGAAAATAACAAGAATACAAAATCACAATAATGTGTACTAATATTGTGCTAGCCTCCATACAATCATTGCTTGCTCAAAACACATACATTTTCAGAAATCTTCCAAGAACAACATTAATCATCTTCCTGAGGCAAGGGAGTTAACTGACTTCAAAAGTCCAGTTTCCACCCTTGCCGAACTAGGCTGGAATTCCTGGGCTCGATTTTAGCGCCACCAGTGGCTGTTACAAATTAAGTCCCTTCTATGCCTCTCCTATGGCACAATCAGATTCCACCTCTCGTATCACTTGCATTGGCTTCAAACAAAATGGCGGCACCCAGTCACGACGATTTGATCAATAATCAAGACCTATATTGTGAGTAAACGGGTTTTACATCACGAAGTTCATCAAATCATGTGATTAAAAAATTGAAAAGATTTGGAAAATATCTGTTGACGAGTTGGTGGTGCACATGCTGTGCAAATCCTGCAATCGACCGAAATCTGCACGACAGTTTACGAACTGGATTTCGATGCGCGATTTTGATTGGACTATATATAGACTTGTTAGTCCAGCCAAAATCTAACTCTGTAATACCAGCCTAGTTCGGTAAGGGTGGAAACTGGACTTTTATTGTCAGTTAACTCTCTTGCCTCAGGAAGATGAACACTTATAGACTAGTAGACACTCCAAGATGGTGGTTTAGTGGCTCAAAACATCAAGAATTTCATTTATTCCATGGATTATGAGTTCCCTCACCTACAATTGTGGATTAAATTAAAACTGTAACAAATAATAATGTAAAAAACAACATGATCAAGCCTGCAAACTAAATTCAATAAGAAATTAAACTCCAAGACAGAATAATACGGGAAAGGAAGTAACTCTTAATTTCATCCAAAGAAATATTTGTTTAGCATCATGTGTCGTTATTTATTTTACATAAATTTCTCTGTAAAAAACATATTTTAACGAAATCTTTTAAATAAAATTTGAAAAATTGTATTTTGCAACTTATTTCAGTTATTTGAACCAATTATATAGAATGCCTCAACAGATATGACATTTTTATCCTCATACAGCTCTTTTGAATCCCATGTCATCCACTTTCTTTTCAATTCCTTTCAGACATATTATTGTGTTTAGGGAGTACAGTTCCGGACGCATTATTGTGTTTAGGGAGTACAGTTCCGGACACACTATTGTGTTTAGGGAGTACAGTTCCTGACACATTATTGTGTTTAGGGTTACAGTTACTGACACATTATTGTATTTAGGGAGTACGGTTCTCTCAGTCCTTACCAGGGTCCCCATAGTTCCTGCAGCATTCATCACGCTCTCCGGGTCTTCAAAGGTCAACATGCGTGTCAGGTCCTTCAGTATTCGGCCACTGTTAGAGTTACTGCCCTTGGCCAGGGCCAGGACTCGGTAACATCCTATGTCAGACTCTGCCAAGGTGCCAATAATGTAGGCCGAATTCCCTGCAACTCTGGCAAAAGAAAAATGTATTATTAAACATGTTAAATACATATTAAGTAATCATATCCTTTGTACATCCATATGATCCATAATGAAAATAATCAAAAGATCTTGTGTTGTAAACATGGTAAAAGTTACACTTCATATCATCCTACTGTTTTACCAAGACTTCCGTTTTGTAGTGTTGACTGCTTGTATACTTGTAAACATGATAAACAATGGTAAAAGCATGATAAACATGATAAACAATGGTAAAAGCATGATAAACATGATAAACAATGGTAAAAGCATGATAAACATGATAAACAATGGTAAAAGCACCGTTACTCTTTCCTACATCTACAAGACTTGTGTTTTAGAAATTCTGATCCCATTCAATTTATTTACAAGTGTGAAAAAAATAGTTATTATGTTCACCGATCTGTAGCTGAAATATGTACACTTGTAAACATGGTAAACCAACTGCACTCTGCTAGTTCAAACTTATAAACAAATGATTATCTTTATATTTTATTTCACATGTTTCACAGTGTTGCAGAATATTTGCAGAAATTGCATTTCCCTGATTTACAATTTCCTGTATTCCAGCAAAGTAGAGACAATTTATGGATAACAACTTCTTTATTTTCTGTAAAGAAGACGTTTTGGTATAGATCCTTACAAGTTACACTGTTGTCAAGCAAGGCTGAATCAACGGTATAAGGATCTGTACCAAAACCTCACCTTTACAGTAAATAAAGAAGTTGTTATGTTATCCATAAATTGTCTCTACTTTGTATTTGTTAACTTCTAAGTAATGCCTATCAAAAATATATTCTTGCACACAGACTATTCCTGAGTGAACTCATTACAAATTACAGACTACAATTATTTCTTGTGTTTATTTACATGACAGTTTTCACCAAGTACACAAATTAACCTAGCTCTTCAAGTGCCACTGTGACCAGATGGTAACCATGATAGCCCACAACCTCGGAAATCATATGAGATTTCTATTGCTGTATGGAACCAATATAATAAAGCAATATCTCCCTTGACAAATTACCACAGGTCAACAGGCCACTAACCTATTCCATTATTTCCATATTGTGCCAAGTTCCATTCCTGGCAATTCAATAAGCAACACAAAGGGGTATTTTGAGACACATGTATATTTCTAGACCCAGCAACAAAAGCAAAAGTCCCCTACAAAGTGTGAACAAGGAATATGACATTTATATATATGCCGGCAGGGTATATCCCACAATAACCCACACTGATATATATGATATACGCCATGGACCTGGGGCACAATAACTCAACGGGTGATATACAGGAATTATTCCCTATACAATAACTGTATGGCTGAGGGCAAGCTAGGAGAAAAACACATGTAAACAAAGATCAAACTGGTTGTCTAGCTTATTACATTTTATTGCATTCCTGCCATGGTGAAGGCATTGTTTGTGTAGTGTTGATTGCCATAAAACACACTCACGGCCACGGCCTTATGGCGGTGCAAGTATGTCAATATTACTGTAAGCTTTGCATTTTAAATATCAGATTTCTAAATTGCCTGGCATTGTAGCAGTGTGAGCATTCAAATATTCAGTAGGGTTAATGAGGGCAGGATAAGCATGATTAAATTGAGTTTAGTAACACATCATTGTTTGTCTGTTATTTGTTTGTTTAACGCTGCACTTGGCAATATTCCAGCTGTATAACGCCAGTCGGTAAATAATTGTGTCTGGACCAGACAATCCAGTGATTGACACCGTGTGCATAGATGTTCACAATTGGGATACAGTGACATGCATCAACCAAGTCACCGAGTCTGAGCACCTGATCCCGTAAGTCGCCTCTTACGACAAGCATGGGTTGCTGAGGACCTATTCTACCCCAGGTCTTCACGGGTATGGTAAAAGTGGTAGTCTTCAAAGAACTGTTTTTCCTGGATTTTATGTCAGACTAGCAGACTTATGTTATGTTCCAACCCTGTCTCAAACAATTATTTGAATGGTTTATAGAATTCTCCTGACCAATAAAACAATGATAAAACAGCTGGCTTTAGCTGGAAAAAAAAATCATAAAAAATTTAACATTTTTAAAAAAAACACGAGCATGGTTAAGGAGGAGACAGTAAATCAGAATTTAGAGTAAGGTCAAAGGATTGTCACAAAGCTACAGAACCACCCAAACTAGATCCATTTACTAGACTCTTATGACCAGCATAGATTGATGGCAGCCTAACATGTCTCTACCATGTTGTGTAATTAGCACAAAACATTATATGGTCTCAGACACCACAATTCCCAGTGTAGAGTTGTGTCCCCTTATCATGCCAGGACATGCTGATCACTGGTTCAAATCCAACATAAATACTCGTATGACCTGTGTTATGTCATCACCATACTCATGCATACTGGGCCATTGAAATAACTGTGGGCTAACATCAACCACTGAGCAGAGACTGGCATTAAACATCAGACTCACTCACTCAACAATATTGTGCCATACCAATCAATTCCAGTGAGTGAGTTAATTTTACACCGCTTTTAGCAATATTCCAACAATATTCCAGCGGAGGTGACACCAGAAATGGGCTTCGCACATTGTAACCATGAGGGGAATCGATCCCAGGCCTTCAGCATGATGAGCGAATGCTTTAAGTTTAACCACTAGGCTACCCCACGTCCCCCCAATAAATTCCAACCTGCTTGACATTTTAAACATTTTTCACATATTTCTCCTTAAACATGTCAACAGTGTTAACAGCTGGATCTCGGGTCACAGGTGTGAAACAATACCATACTCAAACATGCCAACAGGCAGGCGTCAGAACAGGATTTTTTATGGGGTTATCTGGCCTCAATTTCCCCAAAGAAAATGTCTTGAAATAAAAGATTCAACAAGAAAACACATGATACAAACAAAAGCATGTTAAGGAGAAGCATAATTTCAATTAATATTGTCATGATTGTATTTTTGCAAAATTTAGAAGAGAATGAACATGATAAATTGATCTGGACGGAATATGAAAAGCTGTGGACATAATAAAATGTCAATATTTTCAGAAACACTACAGACCTTGACAAGATATAAGCTTATAAGCTTAATCACTGAAGAAGCAGAAGTCATAACATTCCTTATCAATACACTATTATGGTGGGGCAGGGTAGGTGGGGGCGAGATGTGCAGTGGATGGGTGGGGGTGGGGGTAGGGGTGTATGGTGGTGGTGTTGGATGGGTGGGGTAGGGGGGTGTGGTGGTGGTGTTGGATGGGTGGTGGTAGGGGTGCATGGTGGTGGTGTTGGATGGGTGGGGGTAGGGGTGTGTGGTAGTGGTGTTGGATGGGTAGGGTTAGGGGTGTGTGGTGGTGGTGTTGGATGGGTGGGGGTAGGAGTGTATGGTGGTGGTGTTGGATGGGTGGGGGTAGGGGTGTATGGTGGGGGTGTTGGATGGGTGGGGGTAGGAGTGTATGGTGGTGGTGTTGGATGGGTGGGGGTGAAGGTAGGGGTGTATGGTGGTGGTGGTGGATTGGTGGGGGTAGGGGTGTATGGTGGTGGTGTTGGATGCGGGGTGGTAGGGGTGTGTGGTGGGGGTGGTGGATGGGTGGGGGTAGGGGTGTATGGTGTTGGTGTTGGATGGGTGGGGGTAGGTGTGTGGTGGGGGTGGTGGATGGGTGGTGGTAGGGGTGTATGGTGGTGGTGTTGGATGGGTGGGGGTAGGGGTGTGTGGTGGGGGTGTTGGATGGGTGGTGGTAGGAGTGTATGGTGGTGGTGGTGGATGGGTGGGGGTAGGGGTGTATGGTGTTGGTGTTGGATGGGTGGGGGTAGGGGTGTGTGGTGGGGGTGGTGGATGGGTGGTGGTAGGGGTGTATGGTGGTGGTGTTGGATGGGTGGTGGTAGGGGTGTGTGGTGGGGGTGGTGGATGGGTGGTGGTAGGGGTGTATGGTGGTGGTGTTGGATGGGTGGGGGTAGGGGTGTGTGGTGGTGGTGTTGGATGGGTGGGGGTAGGGGTGTATGGTGGTGGTGTTGGATGGGTGGGGGTAGGGGTGTATGGTGTTGGTGTTGGATGGGTGGGGGAAGGGGTGTATGGTGGTGGTGTTGGATGGGTGGTGGTAGGGGTGTGTGGTGGGGGTGGTGGATGGGTGGTGGCAGGGGTGTATGGTGGTGGTGTTGGATGGGTGGGGGTAGGGGTGTGTGGTGGTGGTGTTGGATGGGTGGGGGTGGAGGTAGGGGTGTATGGTGGTGTTGGATGGGTGGGGGTAGGGGTGTGTGGTAGTGGTGTTGGATGGGTGGGGGTAGGGGTGTATGGTGGTGGTGTTGGATGGGTGGGGGTAGGAGTGTATGGTGGTGGTGTTGGATGGGGGGTGGTAGGGGTGTGTGGTGGGGGTGGTGGATGGGTGGGGGTAGGAGTGTATGGTGGTGGTGTTGGATGGGGGGTGGTAGGGGTGTGTGGTGGGGGTGGTGGATGGGTGGGGGTAGGGGTGAATGGGGGTGGTGTTGGATGGGTGGGGGTAGGGGTGTGTGGTGGGGGTGGTGGATGGGTGGGGGTAGGGGTGTATGGTGTTGGTGTTGGATGGGTGGTGGTAGGGTCGTGTGGTGGGGGTGTTGGATGGGTGGGGTAGGGGGGTGTGGTGGTGGTGTTGGATGGGTGGGGCTAGGGGTGTATGGTGGTGGTGTTGGATGGGTGGGGGTAGGGGGTGTGGTGGTGGTGTTGGATGGGTGGGGGTAGGGGTGTGTGGTGGTGGTGTTGGATGGGTGGGGGTAGGGGTGTATGGTGGTGGTGTTGGATGGGTGGTGGTAGGGGTGTGTGGTGGGGGTGGTGGATGGGTGGTGGTAGGGGTGTATGGTGGTGGTGTTGGATGGGTGGGGGTAGGAGTTTATGGTGGTGGTGTTGGATGGGTGGGGGTAGGGGTGTGTGGTGGTGGTGTTGGATGGGTGGGGGTAGGGGTGTGTGGTGGTGGTGTTGGATGGGTGGTGGTAGGGGTGTATGGTGGTGGATGGGTGGTGGTAGGGATGTGTGGTG